AGAACCACCTCTCGCTTTCCGAATCACTAAAACTAACTCCAATGTTTAGAGTTAGAGCTTTCGAATAAGCATTAAATCTCTTTAGTGTGATCGGGAATACTTTCGCTGAGACTCCTTGTCCGAGATGTACAATTTCGGGGTTTTGAAGATTCTGAATTGTATTTCCAACCAAGATGCGTCGGGAGGAATTAGAGAATAGGGTTAACAGCTCCTTAGTAGTCACATTGAACTTGTTCATTCTGTTCATCTTGGAACCTTTTGCAACCCTTCATGATGTGTCTTATATGTTCCAGAGGCCTGAGCAAAAAGGCTTAGTTGTAAATTATATCAGGACATAGCGAAATGGGATTTCTTAAAAATGCTCAGTCCAAAACTTGCAACGAGATCTCAGATTACTCTGAAATAATTAATCGAAATAACTTGTTCATAGTGCGGTGAAACGAACGTAAGCAAAGTCAGCTCGTCGCTTCAGGTAATTCTCAACAGCCGCTTTGCTTCGTTTCAACTCATCCCTCGGATCAAATTGTTCTTGCTCAACGAATTGGTCATAAAGCTGAAATGAAACGTATTCAGAAAAGTAGAAGTGAGTCCTGTAGAAGGGCAACGACGAAGACGAACCTGTATGATTTGGTCACTTTTTGTTACCCGTTTGAAAGTATCCTGAAGATTCTCACTGAGCACACGTGCGCATTCTTCTATGCTGAAAATTAGAAAGGAAGTCAATAGCCCAGAAAAATCATCAAAGTACTCTGATTGAAAGAGAATTGGGAATGATGTACCACACCTTACTATGACAACACGCCCTATAACTGATCCTTGAGCGCAAAACTTTCGTTTTCTTAAGGGTGAATATAAGTAGTTACTAGTAAAATAATAATGTTTTCGGCTTCGATCAATCCTGTTAGTGGGATGTTCCCCTTCCCGCATTTGACTTCTATTCAAAGTTGTTGTGATGTTTTGACTGCCTATTTTGCCTAGACGACTTGCACTAACCAACCATTACACAAGTGCATCTAGCTCCCCGGACGAGTCTGGTCCGAGTTTGCCGACCCAGAAAGGAAGCAAAGCTTGACCGGCATGGGTTAGCAGGTAGTGCGCTACTATACAGACCCCACCTCCGCCAATAAGTAGAACCTTTCTGGCATAGACAAGCATTGACTTAAGAATTGGATGGATCGGATGAGTCTCTGCTATATCCAAACATGAGTTTAAATGTTTTTGGTTTGGGAGTGGAGGGCAATACCACGATATTCTAAAGCCCACAATCCCCTTATTGGCTATTTTCTCCAGCATTTTTCTTTTATGGAAGAGAAGGTTAAGTCAAATGGAAGAGAAGGTTAGTTTTGACCAAAGCCTACTTCTACAAATAATGCCATTCTGACTTCATGAACGGCAGCTGAATTGCCAATTCGCAGCATCTCGATAGATTTCTCACTTTCCTCAACCCATTGGCTAAACGAAAAAGAGTGTCCTATAACGCGGATATAAACTAGATTTTGCAGTTCATCGAAGGAAATTTGCAACTTTTGGGAAAGGGAGAGGAGGAAGGCGAAGGATCTTCATGTCACTTGGAGGAGAACGAGTTGACTGAAGAGAATCACTCAGCTATTCTTTGGTAGATGGGTTGCTATCGCTTGGCTATGTCAAAGGGGAGAGAAATTTAGAAAAACGAGGGGAATACATGAAATAGAAATTAAGACGTTTTTTCGGGCTCTGAACAAACAACCGAATGAATGCACTGTACAGTGGTTCAAGTTGAGCCGCCAGATGCACTCAGAATGTTTTCACCTTTCTTTCATTGCTCATAAATTTTGATCAATGAAGTTTCCTAAAAAAAAATTAGGAATTCTTTGTTTTTCCAAATTTCAATTTCGAGTTTCAATTCAGAAAGGACAAGTGTGTGTTGAGAGATGAAGTCTATGACATACGCATGGAAACTGCAATATGTATAGGTTTGCAAGTATAGTAAGCCTTTCGCTGAGAAGGCAGTCGATTTATCAAATGTACATGGCTTTACATTCTGTTGCCAAACGGAAATTTTAGAAGTTTAGAAATCCAAGTACTTCCTATCAAGCTTTTCACCCAAATCTCATTGTTAGATCAGTCTCTTGAGCTAACATCTTGTAGGAAGAATAGGAGAGTTTTACATCAACATACAAAAGGTCAAAGCTGGAGAGAGCGAGGGGACCCACAAAGTGAACAGAGGCACGACTGCACTATTGTCAACTAATTTTTGAAAATTTCCATGGAGTGCCTAATTGGCTCATAGACTCTTCAGAATATCGAACGTGACTGTGTGCCATGTTGGAACGGAGTGATCGAAGCCAACATCATCTGATTATCCTTTTATTAGATCGACACACACAGGACCTGCACCTTTGTCAAGTTTCAAATCAGAATTCTCCTGGGGGCGTGGGGACGAAGGCATGATTTCAATCCAAAGAGGATCAAAACTTAGGAATACTTTTTCCTTGAATGGTAACTGAACATTTGCAAACAGCAGCTTTTATTGAGAATTTCTGGAAGTGGTTAGCTTCACCGACTAAACGGCTTATATTTCTTTGGAGATAAGCTTACTGAGCTTCACATTAATAGTCACACCGACATGTTCCATAACACATTCTGAAGGATTAGAATAGTCACCCCATTTTTTGTCAAAAATTGCACCGAAATACGATCGTCATTGCACTTAGAAATGCGTTCAACAATTCCGTGAAAGGACTACCTCATGTAACAACTATTTGCATACTCTTTCTTCACTAAGTAGTTCTAGGCGATATTTGGTTATCATAATGATACAATTTTCCCAAAAGATTTTTTTGAGAAGAAAACGGAATTTTCTTCTCAAAAAATGACGATCAGTCGGTAATCATAGAGCCTGCGGATGGATCGTTGTTTGGGCGCTGGTTTAGTGACAAGTAGCGCACTTCATACAGGCATGATCACGGGTACGAGTCCCGCACTGATATCCGTTTAAGAAAACCTTCGGTCCCTCCAGGGTTACTTAGGTACCAGACACGTCTCGGAGGATAAAAACGCCGACTTGTACATCGGCCGACCACCGCAAGCCGACCACCAATGCATATATAGGTCACATATGTATTCAGTACGCCACCGGATTTTCAATGAAAGTCGAATGCAGGGCGCATCCCTCTGGCGGGACTGATTGACGCCCCAAGACTCTAGACTTTCACACTTTAATCGTAGAGTCGCAAATGATTACAACGTAACCTGACCTTTCCCACGCAATCGCAGGGTATCAACATTTTCTGCAGCACTGCCTATTGAAAAGTGTAAGAATCATGAAATCCTACACCCACTCCAAATCTTACAAGGATTGCGCCACATATAGCGAGGTTGGATCACAATTTCGGGATTAATTTGAGTATTCAAGAAAAGAATTTAGTGTTAAGTATGCGAATTCATTTTTATGAATTGTCGTACATACTAGTACGAGCTTCTAAGGTCTTGTATTCATCTAAATTATTTATGGAATTGTGATATCTCCACACGTAAAAAAGGATAATAATACATAGGTTTTCGATTTCCTTACTATCCTTTATCTTGCATAGATAGTTGAAGACAACTAGACTTATATCGCCAAATCACAAAGACTGTTATTATTTTCCTTTTAAGGCGTGTGAAATGACACGCATGAATAAATAAATAAATAATTAAATAAACAAATAAGTAAGTAAATAAATATTCGTGCCACTTCACCATTGAATCATAATTAGTGGTTACTTTTGATTCGATTCAGATTCACGCCTTATTGGCTATATAAGGAAGGATGCAGGCTCAACGCCACTGAGTCAACACAAGTGTCCTAGACTGAGCAACTTTCTACCATGTGGATTTTCACTGACTCACTGAGAAATTTATCAAGGAAGTACGTAATCCATTATTGAAAGATCTGCTCTGTGCTTAATGCTGACGAAAATTCGAAATCGATGAGTTTCAAAGCCGTTGCTTCCTTAGTAACTTTTGATTAGTGGCACTTGCATGAAAACTTGGAAATGATCCGTTTAGTTCACTTTTGTGCCATCATTTCAGTAGGAAGCGTTGCACGCTAATTCTCCTTAGCAGACTCCAAGGATTTCAAAAAGTTTACTGGAGTATATAGGGCCAACTCGACTAGAATTTCAACATAAGAAGTGTAGGAAGAGGACCTGGGGCCCAGGTTCGTTTCATAGAGTGAATAAATATTTCTAGAATAAAGTAAATATTTTTCAGAAGCAACACCTAGCAAATCAATTTCTTATAAACTGCCGACCGATGGCAACACAGACTTTATCGATATGTCGTAGCAATTCACTCAGTTATACGAGTGTTTAGGTATCCACAAAGAGATGTCAGCTGTTCAAAAGGCATTGGTAGCTTAAATGCGGTCTAGACATCAAATTGAATGGCAGTGAAGTGAGGAAAAAAAATCCAAACTGCCTCTGACCTGTTCTTATTGAAAGCGTCGCTATATATGAAGAACGACAATACAAAAAGGGTGACGATAGAGCGGTGCATGGCATCACTGCTTGGGTAGCCGATTTGCTTGCATCCAGAGATACTTGAGACGAAAGCGCGAAAAATACACTGAAATCAAGAGAGGTGAAGTGGCTCCGGCACTGTCAGTCAGTAGCGACAAAAACATTCTGAGAAGAGCTTGGGATGACAGTAAGAGCAATGAACAACAATGAGTGATTTTGAGAGGGAAATCATATAAAATGGGCTCAAGTAGCACCCTGTTGAAAAAAAAGGAGGAAGAAGGGTTTTGGCTCAAATATATTATAATTTTGTAGTTCATCATATATTAATATTCTGAGTACTCGGTCCTCTCTAATTTTTTAGAGAAAAGTAAGAAGAAATGACACAGAAATGTTCCAAAAAAAAAACCATAGAGGGACCTCTTTCAATCAAGAAACAAAACAAAAACCAATGAGCAGTTTGAAATTCATTGAGATAGTTTGAGAGAGCGTTCTTAGAGTAGTCAAGACAATAGGAGGCGTGGGTATATTACAACATAAAAATTCTTCTCGGATTCAGAAGCCACGAGTGGCAGAAAGAATTAGTGAAATAGACAGATGGCTTGATAAGGGCGCTCGCGAAGTTAATGTGGCAAAGAGCGCAGCTGAGATGTAGTAAGGATTAGCTACGGAATGCTGAGTAGAATGGTTCAACTGCCTTGATCAGTTAAGGGATGGAATTTTTGCCGTGAGTCAGTGAGACGTGAAAGTTAGTGCGGGAAGATCTCCCCTCGAATTACTCGGGATTTAGGCCGAAACGGCTGCTTCAGCAGCAGCAGCAGCAGCAGCTGAAAACAATACTCCCGTGCTAGCGGCGATCGATGTGTGAGGGTCCGTCTGGGTGTGCGGGCACCCTGGCCAGGCTCAGAGACGAGGTGCTGGCGGCTGACTGCTGCCGCTGCCACCATCCTTGCCAATGATTTCGCCCGCTTTTCTCGGAACTCCATTGTGACCTTTAGCAACAGGTGCTTCAATTGATAGGTTGCCTATGGTCCCATACGCATATATGGTTCTAGGAACGGTAGAGGTTAGAAGTGGCTCTGGTTCTGTTTTAGAAGGTGAATCTAGAACGAACTCTATAAATTCACTTCTCGAGCCCGACCAAGTAGGAAGTGGTGATAGTTCCAAGTCTAAAAATCGCTCGAATTCAATTCATTCAGCCAGATATTCTCTATTTTAATTCGACCTTGAATCCATGAAAAATGCTTTCAAACTTTCAACGTTCAACGGATTGTTTGGGAAAACTGGTTCAGTCACTGCAGAAAAGCTTAAACAAAGTTTCCTTGACAAGTCATGGGAGCCCTTTTCAAATATTTTATGTAGAAATGAATCAATCACGTTTCCACGGAAAGAAAGGTAGTGGCTGCTCGCATCGTCGTTCGGCAGCAGGTTTTAGAAGTCGATAGTGTAACGCTATGCTATGGTCTATGAGCAGTCTTCATGCTAATGAGCCTCGTTGCTAGAATCACGCGACGCTATAGCCCTGCCCTTTAGGGCTGTAAACACTGAAATATTGCAATTAGCAAATTACAATAAAATGCAATCGGTGGGATTGAAAACATGGACATCAAACATTTGGTAGTCCTCGGCATTTGTCTTCGCAGTTGTATTGCATCACCTTGAATATCTACGAAGAGCACATGACGTAGATAAAGAAGATTATCTCTTGCCGTTGTTGGAGGGCCCATTGCTTTCCTCTTAAGCTACTAGTTGATCCTCAGTAACGACAACAGGTGCTCTTCCTGAAAGGCACAGTTCACATGAGGTATCATTTTCATCTTTAGGCACCCTTTTTGGATCGAAAAGCGGAAGTCTAGGTTAGGAACAGTGCATCCATCGATGGTGAAGGAAACAAGGAAATTTATATCGCGAAACTCCCTTGAATCAAGGGAATTTATCCGTTCCATTCTGCCGCTAAGCATCTGCGCATCAGTTCGTTGCCTTTTGCTATTCATCAAAAACTGTTCCTTCCAAATTTAGCCCAAAATTGTGATATAAAACTTCAAAATCTATATCTCCATTTCCCCAAGAATTCCGTGTAATGTAATGTTGGCAGGTCGGAAAATTCTGCGAATATTCAGGCTCAACCATCAGCTTTCAATAGTACTCGGCGCTTCAGTCCGACGTGCTGTAGAGTGATGGGACGATACAGATCTGTTCCGGCAATGACTTTCAAGAACTTTTTGTTGGGAAAACATATATTCATTCCATTTGTTGGAAATTCCCCGACCCACCATTCCTGAGGAACCCCTACAAGGCTGTTCTGCAAACAAAACATTTTTCAACAACACAACATGTTAGGGCAGATTAACAGATTCTGAGAACAGAGAGTGATAGCTATCCTTGTAAAATATTTTTACCTACTGCCCGTTCGAAGGAGCTCAGACAGCTTGAATACTGGGAGCAAGAAAGGAGGTCACTTGTATGAACGAGGAACAGGATAGGGGACAGAGTCCCACCTTGCGGGACTCCTGATGGGCAATTCCTGGACTGTGAAATGGAATCTGATATGCGTATAACCATTTTTCGATCGCAAAGATAGGATTTGAACCAGTCTAATAGTCTTCCTCTAACTCCATGCTATCAAGTTTCCTCAACAGACTGGAGTGACATACAGTATCAAAGGCTTTTGTGAGGTCATAATAAATAACGTCAACATTATGCTTGGAATTTAGAGCGGAGATC